GTAGGGAAACTTTTTTCCACTTAAAAAGAAAGTGGAGAACTTGCCATTAATACTCACTTCCCCAACCAATATATAATGTTTCAGGTGAAAGACAGTATCTTGCAGCCTTTGAGACTTGTGATTTGCTGTGTGAAAGGGACTGAGAAGCTTTATTCCTAGGTTGGAGAAAGATAATAGTTCAGTGATGTCGACATATCCTCTTAGTGACTGAGAGGCAGAGTGTGGTCCTTTCACTGTTGAATAAAGCCATTGTGTCAGGCAAGGAGGCTTGCTTGAAGTTTCCACTGTTTTTAAAAAAATATATCACTGCTTAAATTTACTTTTTAAAAATTAACTAAACTGAGCTATTGAATTCTTCATTGCTGGAATAGGAATTTGTTTTCTATTAGTTTGTAGAATCTCTTTTTTGTTCTAGTGAGGAAATTTGCACTTCTTTCTCTGGGCATGGAGAGAAAACTAGTTTTGTCTTGACTCTCAGATTTCCTCTAAGAGGAACTGTATTTATGTGTTCGCAAGAAGTTGTCACTGAAGTTGTTCTGCTTTGTTATACTATTTTGAGGGTGGGGGAAGGGAAAAGTGAAATGCTATGACTTCTGATATGTTTTCTGGTGTGGTGTGTTTGTTTTTTTGTCATTGTTTAGCCAATCAAAAATCCTCCTTCAGGGAAGAAGTATGTTAGATGTCAATGTAATTGTCTCCTTATCTGTAAGGATACATCTCGGAAAATAGGCTGTCCAAGACCAAACTGGTAAGCATAAAAAACTGTAAGTGCCTTGAGGTAGCTTTCTTTAAAGGATGGGTGCTCTTTGTGTTGAATATTTAAAAGAGATTCAAGCCTGGGCCTGTGTTCATGAAGACTTAATAACTTCATAAATTACTGCAGACACAGATTGTGGTAGTGTCAATTTTTAATATTTGTTTTTAAGATTACCTTTAAAGAGGAAAATATTTTGTTTTTTCATATTTAGTAGTAGTCTCAAATGTGTTTTCCATTTTAACTACTTTATAAGGAACAAATAGCATAAAGAACAACTGAGAAGAAAACATCATCTTGTTTCTGGGATTTAATGTTCATAATTCTTGCAGAGTTAATTGTTGTAAACCCACAGATTGCTCACTTTGCCTAGGTTAAAGTGGGGGCTTCAAAATGAAACAGGAGAGGGAGCAGTAGGTTGGTTTCAGTCCTGTTCTCCTTTCTTTGTTATGCTGAGTTTTCAGTCTCCTCTCAACTGTAATTTACAGATTTGTTATAAAAGAAACAAGTACAATTGCTATCGTGTTTGCTCTTAGCAATGGGCTTAGGGTGTTAAAGATCCCACTGCGGTAGAAGTAATTTGATTGTAAGTGGTGCAGCCCTAAAAGCAGAAACTGAGCTGAAGGCTAGGTCTGCAGATACTTGAATGGAGGCTCTACCACACCAAGTGCCCAGGTCACCATCTGTTGGCTATTCTGGTGTTGAAATATAGCTTGAGACTTGGGGGGGAGGAGGGGATGGATTTTCTTTTTTTTTTAACTTGAAGTTTTTAAAAAAATGTCAAAACATTCCAAGTATTTTCTCAGAGTGAAAAAAATGTTCATGGGATACTTCCATTGTAATACATCACCTGGTTGGTAACCAAGCTGAATCAGAAACTCCCTAATTTCATTAAAATAAACTCAAAAGCATGTATCTCAGCAGTTTCTCCAAGACAGCCTATGCGTTTGTTTTACTAGAATATAAGCAAAATTGGGGTACTTTGAAGGAGAGAGTTGGGATTATGCCCTGAATGGAAGAGTCCACATTGAAAGGAAGCCATCTGGGATTTTGGTTGCAAATGAAGAGAGATGCAGTGCAAGTTAAATAATGCTTTAACTTTTCCCTTTACTTTTTTTCATGGTAGGAAGTCTGTTACTCATTCTGCTTTGAGTTGGTTAATTTGGGTGCTGTCATTGTAGATGGACAAATTGCATAATTAAATTGGGAACGCTGAATGTAAAAGCAAATACTTACAAACTTTTTTAAAGTAAATTGATTTAATTTGGTCAACCTGGGATGGTTTTCCTTGTTAGTTCACTCAATTTAAATAGAATTTTTACTGTACAAATGCAGAAATGCTGCTTATGTTGACATGGTTGTCAGTAGTGTGGAAAGGAGGAGTATCTGACTTGGCAAGGAGAACTAGTTTTTGGAAGAGTCCTTACTCTTTCTACATGTTTCACGTGGGTCTGTACATTCCAATTCATGGACATGCTCAGCCTAAGTATTAAAATTTAATTTTCCCAAGGAGTGTTTCTGCCGCACAACAGCAAGTCTTTGATCTCTGTGGGGTTCTGGCTTTCATGGCTGAATTTATAGTGGAAGAGAATGTGTTCAAAACTGAAAAGAGAAACTTTGGAGAGAGACCAAAACTGGATGCATGATCTGTTTAGAGGCACATTATAGTTTAAAAGTGTAAATATTTGGTAGTGACTGAGCTAATTGCTTAAACGCATTGTCCTTCTTTTTTGTGAGCTTAATTACATGTACATCTAATGTTCTTAACACAGTAGACGCATCATTACTCTTGGTCCAGTAATGCTGATCCCAGAAGAGCAGCCAGCTCAGCCTGCCTTGCCAGTTCAACCAGATGGAACCAGAGTGGTATGTGGGCACTGTGGAAATACATTCCTTGTAAGTAAAGCAGCAGATTCTCTGTCTCACCTGGCTGTGCTATCTTTTGAGCTATTTGTTGTAAGCACTTTTAAGAGAACATTGCCTCGCTCTGTGGCATTGTTGAGGAATTGAAACTACTTCTGTGCTTATATCGCTATGAGTGTATGGTCTTGTTTGGTTATCTTTACATGCATTTCAGGAAGACTTTTAATGGTCTTTCAGTGCATGCATCACATGGATAAAAGTCAGTCTTACTGTTAGTGATGTGAGAGTGGACAGATGGAAAAGTTGTGCTTCCAGGTTCTTGCAATGATGGCTGTGTTACCCCGTGGCAAAGAGTGCAGTCCTGTCATTGTTTAGTTGCCCTGAAAGCGGTTTGTTATAACACTTGCCTTTAGCTATCTGTCAGTTGTTACAGAACTGGAGATTTTGGTTTATATGCAAGACTGAAAGTTGATCCTGGATTTGAAGTGGAAGGATGCAAGAGTACTCTTTTGCTGTTGAACTATTTGCAGCCTTCTACATGGATAAGGGGCTGCCATACCTGAATCTTGATTTAGGAACAGTCTCTGCAATACACAAGTAACTTTGCTTTAGCTTTATCATCTAGCTATGCTAGAATGTTTGTCAGGTTTGTGGGTTGTGGAAAATGGCTATTCTAAGTGGTACAGCTGAAAGACCTGCAGAATCATCAAGAGTGGTGTTACATTCCTGAAAGAAAGGGTCACAAGATACATAAAAGGAAAAAAGGAAGCTTAGTGAGTGGCACTTTTTGTTGGCTTCTATCAGCAGTGAGAGAAGGGTTTGCAGTGATGGGCTCTATAGTGGAATAGGCTTGTTCCTTCAGATCTTTACTTCAGGTTAATGGGTCAGGGAGGTGCACAATCATGGCTTAACTACCACAGTAGTTAATGTAGGATGATTAATTAAGGATCAGGAGATGGCTTTTAGGTTTTGTTTTGGGTTTCTTTGGTTTGGTCCTTTTTGCTGAGGGACTAAGTATTTTATTATGAATTTACAGGTAATGTAGTATCTGAGGAACCGTTAGATACTTGAGAAATATTCGATCTACTAATTCTGCCTGTATATTATATATATTCATTTTATAATCTTTGCTGAAGAGCAGTAGTCTAACTGGAGGTAGCTGCAGTGGGCTTCCTGTTTGCTTTTTAAAAAATGCAAGTCTATATATAATTACCTTAGCTAGTTAGAACATAGTATGCAATATAAAATAATGTTACTACTAACAAAACTATTTGGTCTATGGAAGAAGGAAGTCTCACATACATATTCTTAACCAGGAATCTTACTAAATGTTGCTTTTTCTTTTAGCTTTTTTTTTTTTGTTAATACAGCAGCATATTACAAACTCTTAAGTACCTGCATGAACAATGTAGTTTCTAGTCATCATTTAATTTGGTAATGCAATTATGTTTTTTAGAACAGCTTTAAAACTGCACAGGCACAAGCAGTGATTCTTTATTTAGTTTCTGTAAGTGCAGCCCAAATTAATTGTATAGTTTACATGATGAACTTCTTTAGGTGAACATAAGGGAAAAAAACCCAACAAACCCATAAAGACTGGTTTTGTTCATAACTACTAGTTTATGCCTTCAGAGGCTGTTTTCTAATTTGGAATTTGTTCATGTGACTTCAGATCTGATAGACTTCAGGTAACTGCGTAAGTTTGAACTTCATAGTCCTATCTGCCAGTAAGAGCAATTTACCACTTCATGGTGCATTGAAAAGAAACACTCAAAATTATTAGAAATTTGAAGCTTATATTCTTTTATACTGAGTTATCAAGAAACACTTTTTTCTCACTTTATACAGCTTTCCCACCACTCTTTTGCTTCTATCTTTTTTCTATTACTAAGTTTGAGATTCTGTAAATAAATCTTCTAGTTAAGAATACCAGGAAATTGCTTGGATTTGAGAGTGAACAGAGAAGTGAGAAATATAAATGCTTTAGCCAGCCTGGAAACTCAGCTTCTGTGAAGGTATTTCTGCTCTTGATATCTCCACATTGTAAATCAAATATGTAATTCTAGATGCATCTCTCAGCAACTCAGTAAGGTATGTCCTTTAGTTGGCAGTTTAAAAGTAAATAAAATAGCAAAGCAAAGCTAGAATCCCTGGAGTGGAAAAGTCAAATAGTCAGTTGCTTGTTTTGTGTTCCTTTCAGAGTATGAACTTTTTCCCCCATGTGAAAGCCTTAAGTCTGAATTGTGCTCAGACACACGTGGGGGGTGTTTTTTATAAATTATTAAAAGCATACTTCACACTATGGTGTGCCTTGAAGTTTTTCTGCCTCAACTGGGAGAATGGGTATGTACTGAAGTGATACTGTAGCTGTATTATCACTAGTTACTCACTTTTTTGTTAATCAGATTTTTTTTTTTCCTGGGGTAACCTGATAGGAGTCTTTTCTGTGTTAATGGTTTTCACTGTTTCTGGCAGATTTTGCATTCAGACAAATGGAAAAAGTGGTAGAACAGAAAAGGAGGGCAGGACAAATTTAACTGTTCTGTTGAATTGCAGTCTGATCTGCTTTTGGCTTTCTTGAGAGGTTCTGAACTTGGGCTGTGGCTGTTTCTGTTTCTGCTGGCAATAAGTCACTTCCCACAACTGTTCTCCCAGGGGCCTTTGATTTGTGGCTGTCAGAGGCTGAGTTGCCTTTGGAAATGGTGGCAGTCAGGGGAGGGGTGTCCCTGTCCTCTTCTGCCATACCACTGCTACCATCCTGCTTTCAGAGACATCCTTAGGGACAAGAAGCCAGGAACGAGCTGTGTAAGCCCCGGGCTGTAGGCTGAGCACTGTGATTTGTCATTTGTGCTCTGTCAATTTTATTTATGGATACTAAAAGAATATGAAAAGTATTTCTTCTAAAATAATTGAATAAAAAAACTTTTAAGTTCTTCAGAAAACTAGGAAGTGTTTTAATCTGCGGAAGTATTTTGCTTTCCCAAAGGACCTGGTGACAACAGAGGGGAAGCTTTTTTGGCAGAAGCAGCTGTATGTAGGGTTGTATATGTTTATATATCCTTCTTTCGCCCCCTTGGTCTTGTATTAAACACATTGAAAACTGTTTTAGGCTCAGAAGGAAAAAAGTTTGACACATTCTTCTAGTAAATACCTTGATAGATGTCTGTTTTTGTCCACAGTTGAAACATTTAAGACCTATCTGAAATCCTCATATGTGTTTCAGTCCCTCTAACCAGGGATTTGGGCTGTTTATTGTATTGTTTCAATGGCAATAATAAAGTTTGTATTGTTGGGAGGGAGATATATTTCACATAACTGTAACCTCAAGTTTTCTTAACAACATAAACCAAAATTAAGTACTTTAAAGCACTCTGGAATATGAGTAAAAATACCACCATTAAGCATGATTTAAACTACTTGTTAAACCCACCAAAATGCCAAAAATTAGCATGTGCACGCAAGTCACCTTTCCCTGCTGTGCTAATCTGATCTGAATTGTTGTAGTTTGAATGTCTTGTTGCATTTTTGTTTCTCTTCTGGAAATATTTCCGGTGTGTGCAGAAGGCATCATAACAATGAATGCTTCTGTTACTTCCAGGTAACTCTTAATGAAAAGAGATTGGGTTTTTTCCATCAAAATTTGGAGCTCAAATGCATTTGAGTTTGTGTCCACTAATAACTATGGCTAGTAATCAGAAATCTTAAAATAAATACAACTCTAGAAAGATCATTAATGAGTACCTCTGGAAATTGAGTTGCTTACCCTGGAGTAAAGCTAGTGTACAGCAGTGAAGTTGAATTACTGATGCATAAAATGTAAGTTCTGAATTTAGATTTGCTTCTATTTCTGGAATTGTTGCTTGAAAAGCTGAAAGAACAGCTCTGAAGAGGACTGTCTCCATCCCTGGTACTGATAACTACACCTTACCCCGTTTTTGTTGTGTAGAACTAAGTGGAACTGAGTAGTTTTTGACAGGGATGGAGGCAAATAGCAAACTTGTTCCTCTGGTAGGATTGTGTAAGTAAAATAAATGCTACTAAAATGTATTGCTCAAGTGAATATTACAGCAGTTTGCATTTTATTCATTAATAAAATACATCTATGTTAACGCAATTTGGCCAAGTCTTTGTAAACCAGTACATTTTGAAGAGCAACTGTGTAACTGGTATTGCAATTGGATACTTCAGAACCAGGAAAAAAAAATGGACTACTTCTTAGTGGAAAATTAGTCCCACTAGAAGCAAATGAAAACTTAGACCTTCAAGAAGCAAGAGAATGCACTCTAAATACTACAGATTGAAGGCTTGTTCTTAGCAAAACCTACTTATACTGGCAAGATGTTACAAGCTACATCCTCTTTCTTTGCACATAAAATAATAAATTGATTCTCAGTGTTTAAATGATGCTGGGCTGTAGCTGGGTCCTGTTTGCCATACCAGGATGGGTTCCCATTTTGGTTTGTGTTTGTACAGTTACAACACTCATCAGTTCAACAGACCAGCTTCTGATTTCTGACAGAAATAAGGAGGATCCCAATGGAGGCATTGGTGGTCTGTGCTATAGTTGCTGTAGCTTCTTCCCCTGCTAGTAACGTGCAGTGTGACTTCTGCATAAATTCAGAGGTGTAAGGAGAGGAGAATGCTTTAAGCAGGAAACTGTGCTAATTACCTTCAGTTGAGAAAGGCAGAATGGAACTGCAGATACAATATAATTGCTTACAGAGCTAAGAACAATAATCTTATCCCCATGTTCAAGGGAAACTTATTTTAAATTATTGTTTAATATTTGTGTTATCCCAGAATGAAATTTAGCAAAGCCTGTTGTTTTTAAATGAGTATATATGACTGTGTATCCTATGGTTGAGGTAATTCTAGGAATTGCTTGCATTAAGACTCTTTCTCAGCTAGATTTTAGTCTGCGCATGGGAGTTTATTACCACACTATATACAGTTTTATATATCTAGTTTTTTAAAAACTAACTTAATTAGCCACTAGTTTATCAATAAAAAACTTTCAAAGACATCTACTTTCCAAAATATTCTTTAGCTAATCTTTCTGTGCATGCTTAACGTAATTTTCAAAAATGATGCAAGGCTTGGGGAAAGATGGGAAAAAGCATCTCTCTGTGCCAAAGAAAACACATGTGTTTTGATTTGGCATATATTCATAGTCATGGAAGTAAGAGAAAAAATGTATTAATATTCTCATGTTGCCCATACTGTGCCTGTGGATTAAACAACATTACGTCAAGTGAATCTTGTAATGCTAAGGCAAGTCATGGGAAATTTTCACATGACAGTCTCAATCCCAGGTTGCCAGTGACAAAAGGGCATCCCATTTACGGAAGAAAGCAAGAAACAAGTCAAAGAAGCCTGAGAAGCAAAATGTTTTCTTGGTGACATTTTGCATGAAGTACAACAAACATTTTCTCAGGCCGTTTTATTAACCTTCTTCTTTTTTCTTTTTACAGTGGATGGAACTGAGGTTTAACACACTAGCAAAATGCCCACACTGCAAAAAAATGTAAGTTCCCTGAAAGTCAGGTTAGATAAGTTAGCTGTTAAATAAGTTGCCAGTGTTTCTTATCTAAAGACTTTGGAGTAAAATATGTTTCCTGGGCTGATTATTTTGCCATGCTCATCTGAACTTCAGGACTAATGAGAATGTTATATGCATATGAATTGTCTGATCTGTATGCACAAATCAGTAACTTTTACAAATCCAACCTGCATTTATTAATTTATCTAAAGACTTTGGAGTAAAATATGTTTCCTGGGCTGATTATTTTGCCATGCTCATCTGAACTTCAGGACTAATGAGAATGTTATATGCATATGAATTGTCTGATCTGTATGCACAAATCAGTAACTTTTACAAATCCAACCTGCATTTATTAATGTTCTGGTACTGTTCAGTATTTTCATCAACGACCTGGATGAGGGAACAGAGTGTGCCCTCAGCAAGTTTGCTGATGACACTAAGCTGGGAGGAGTGGCTGACACACCAGAAGGCTGTTCTGCCATTCAGCAAGACCTGGACAGGCTGGAGAGGTGGGCAGGGAGAAACTTGATGAAATTCAACAAGGGCAAGTGTAGAGTTTTGCATCTGGGGAAGAACAACCACGTGTACCAGTACAGGTTGGGTGCTGACCTGCTGGAGAGCAGTGTAGGAGAAATGGACCTGGGTGTCCTGGTAGACAGGAGGATGACCATGGGCCAGCAATGTGCCCTTGTAGCCAAGAAGGCCAGTGGCATCCTGGGGTGCATTAGAAAGGGTGTGGTTAGTAGGTCAAGAGAGGTTCTCCTCCCCCTCTATTCTGCCTTGGGGAGGCCACATCTGGAATATTGTGTCCAGTTCTGGGCCCCTCAGTTCAAGAAGGACAGGGAACTGCTTGAAGGAGTCCAGTGCCAAGCCACAAAGATGATTAAGGGAGTGGAACATCTCCCTTATGAAGAAAGCTCAGTCTCTAGCTTGGAGAAGAGACTGAGGGGTGACCTCCTCAGTGTTTACAAATATGTTAAGGGGGAGCGTCAGGACAATGGAGCCAGGCTTTTTTCAGTGATGTCCAGTGATAGGACAAGGGGCAATGGGTGCAAACTGGAGCATAGGAGGTTCCACATAAATACCAGAAAAAACTTCTTTCCTGTGAGAGTGACAGAGCACTGGAACAGGCTGCCCAGAGAGGTTGTGGAGTCTCCTTCTCTGGAGACATTCAAAACCCACCTGGATGCGTTCCTGGGTGATGTGCTCTGGGTGATCCTGCTCTGGCAGGGGCGTTGGACTAGATGATCTTTTGAGGTTCCTTCCAACCCTTAAGATTCTGTGATTCTGTGAATTGCGAAAGGCAAAAATAAACTTCTAACGATAGACAGGGATGGGTTACTAAAATGAACAACTTACATCCTCAAAATTTTATCTGATGTCATGTTTAAATGTAGAACTTCAATTGCCCTATTGTAAAAAGAGTAAATGAAATAATCTTGTTTTAATTTGAAAGATATTTTACTGATTTCATAAACTCAACAACTAACTTGTTATAAGCATCTGAATGCATTACCTTGTTTATGAATTATTGTGGAATAACATTTCTACTCATTTGCCATTACTTCAATAAGAAGGAGAAAAGCTGGGATACAAGAGCTGTAAAAATTATTTTTTTTAAATTTTTGATTGGGCCTTTGAATATTTGTTTGGCCTTTCTTATCTAAGGTCAGAAATACTTAGTTTGAAGTGTTGTCAAAAGCTACACTACTGACATACTCTAAATTTGTATGGAGTCTCAACCATAGGGTGTGAGGTAACATTTTAAAATATTACTTCTCTTGTCCTGCTGATTTATTTAAATATTTGTCTTCCTTTGATAGGCAAGTGTGACCTCTAGTTAAAGGAGCAAAAAAAGTGTTTTCCACTGGGAATGGAGAACCACAGCTGTACTGCGTGTTGTAGGATAACTAGCAGATCCCTTAGGAAACAAGAGGCTTAAGATACATGTACTGTACATGTTGGCACGACTTGGCCTTCAACAGTGATTGAAATGTTTTACTGGAGTATTTGATAGAGAAGTCAGCCTACTGCTACATTTAATGTCAAGAGTTTAACCAATTGGGTGTGGAGTGGTGGGTATGTTCTAGTTTGCTTAAGTCACATGAACTCATGGCCTTGACGAGATGCTGCTTTGCAGGGTTGTTTTTTTTTTCTGACTGTAATTGCATTCATTTTTTTTCAGCCCTGGGAGGAGGGGTGGTTGTTTTGTGGTTTGTCTTTAATTGCGGTTATGTTTTATATTTTTATCATGTCACACTTGATAGCTGACCTCAGCTTTTTTCTTTGTAGGAACAAAATTAATTGCTGTTTAACCTTAAAAAAAAACAACAAAAAACCCAAAACAAACAAAAACCCCCAACAATAATAAAAAAACCCCCACACTCCAAGCAGCAGTCCAAAAGTCATACTGTGTGATCTTTTGGTCTGTTTTCTGTTAAATTATGTTGCTTGTATTTTCAAATCCAGCTGGAGCCTGAGGACTTCTTAGTATTTTTGTCTATAAAGTGCAAAGCATGTTATCTGTACATAGTAAAACTGGAGCATCTGTGCAGTTTGGTTTGTGAAAGTGACAGCTTGTGTGGCAACTGAGTTGCAGAGTACAAACCAAATTTTAACAAATAGACATTTCTGCCCAAGGGCTGAGTTTGCAAACTATATACTGTTGTAATTTAACTTTGAATGAGTTTCTTGGTGTCTTCCTGCTTTGAGATGCAATGGTCAGGAGTTCTGTGCTTCCAGTAGCATAAACATTTCTAATGTATGGATATAGGGCACAGTGTAGGTGAGGCACAGCTTTGAGTCGTGATGATGAAATAAATAACTGCAGTGAGCTGCTATTCTTTATCAGTCCTTCATCAGAAGTTGTGGTACCTGTAGCCACGTAGTCAGAAGGGAATGTGGGGTTCTGTAGTTCAGCTTATTAATGCAAAACTTTTTTCATTAGTAGTAGCCAGATGCAAAACTATTGATTCCTTTTGTTGACTCAGTTGGTGATTGTCACTGAAAAAAAGATACTCTAGACTAAGGCAAAAGGCACTTTGGATTGCTGCAACAGCACATTTTCCAAGAAGACAACTGCTGAGACTCTTAGACTGTCAAATAATTTTCAGTATTTTGTTTGAAATGTTTTTTTAAAGACCAATGAATCTCTGCAATTAATTTGTGACCACCTCTTTGGTTGATGGAGACTAGATCTCAATATTAAGAATGCCTTGTAAAACTTCAGAGGAAGTTAACTTATTACAGTAACAAAACAAAGTTCAGTGAAAACAAAGCAATTGTGCCTTGGAGTATGTAAACAAGGGAGTTTTTCATACTTGGATGTAGGGGGAAATGGGATTAAAAACAAACAAGAAACTCAGGATCCTATCTACTTGCTACCGTTGTGGTCACAATTTTATTATTTTGTGATGTATTTTCTTTTGTCTGTGTCATTGTCCTTTGTGATTATTCTCTCCCTCTTCCCTCTGTCTCTCACCCTGTCTTCCTTCCCCCGCCCCCCAAGCTATTTTTTTGCAGAACAGCTTAGGACAGGAAATCAGTATGATGTAGAGAATAAATTCACTTATTTGGTAAATGAACAGAAGCCATTAGAATTGGACTACAGACTAGTTGTGCCTGTATAGGTAAGGTGCTTGCAGAAGCCCTTCTGGCGTGTAATGGTCCTGCCTGACACAGGCCCTTAGCTGCATATTTTCTACTGCATTGGACAACAAATGTAGCTAACGAGGAAATTGCTGCAATATAGTTTTTATGGATGACAGTTGAGAATTAGGACAAAAGTTTCTGTCACTGTTTTAGAGTTCTTTTGTGTTTCAGATTACAAAATACTACATGTCTGTCAGCCTGTTTCTGAAAAGAGTGAGAGGTTTAAGGAAGACTTCTGGTATTTTTCTCATTTAACAATAGAGAAGAAGCAGGAACTATTTTTGTCTGCTGGTCTCTGTCCCAAGCTGTCTATTAAATCATCTAGAAACCACAGGATCATGACTTCAGTTAGAAGAAAGAGAATGGAATGGTACAAGTTTTTATTTCAAAATGCAAAATCTCTATAATTTTCCCTTACAACTTATTATTTTTCTTTTTAAGATATGATGAAGTGATGAACCTTAATGAGTTTATAACATTTTTGCCTCATAGAGTCTGCAGGACCTCTAGGAAAGAGAGAGGTGTCGGAACCTCATCACTGCTGTGAGGCTGGTTTCAGTAGTGCTATTCACCTTCAAATTACTGGCATTTTGATCTTTCTCTTAAAAACCCTTCTAAAAAGCATGTCTGAATTCCTAGCAATAATTCCTATTATTTGGAGCACAGAAGACCCTGCATTCCTTCCTGTGCTACTCATTTAATAACCTCTGTCATCTGTAGTGGTTCCCCTCTCTTCTAATTACTACCTGATGCTAAATTGGCTTTGGTGTCTTTTTCTATCTGCTATTGCCACGCAAAGGTTTGGCAGGTGCTTTTGCTTCCTTAGCAGCACCTCCGAAACAGAGCCACTGCCTTCTGAATAGCTTTGTAGAGACTTCACCCTCAGTAGTCCCACAAAGGAGGGAACTGCTTCTGCAATTTAAAAACATCCTTTTGACTCCAGTTCTAATATTTCTGAATGTGCCTGTCAAAGATGCTGCAGTTGGTAGGTTTTGGGGTTGAGTTTCAGTTTTCTTTATTCAAAGTTAGTTTGTTCTTTTTATGTATAGTTAGGAGGTGAGTAAAGGGAAATCTCTCTACTTCGAGTGCTCCAGTAGTTAATATAGTCAGAAGATGAAAAATAAATTATTACTTATTTGGATTGCTAAATGTTCCCAGGTCTGTTATGTGACCATAGAAACTTACATATTTATTTCATTTTTGCTTTCTGTTGAAATAAAAAGGTGTTTAAAATTAAATTAAGACACTTTACATTTGGTTTTTGTAGTATTTGAGGTGATAGTATTTGAGGAGACTCCAGCCTTTGTTACTGGATAGGAGAGAACAGACCTTGAGAGAAATATGGATGGAATATACACACAGCACCTGCAATATTATGGTTATAAAAGCAAAATCATGGGAAACAGCTCTGAAAGTGATGGTCTCTTTCCCAACATAAACTTCATCTGTGTGAAATACTCAGTGCAGTAAATACACTGTGTGTTTTGGGTGTATTGAACATGATGTTTCTACCAGCTTATCTTAAGGTATCTTGCTCTGTAATAGAATTAACTTTCTCAGTACATAGCCAGGAAATCCTGCAAAGAAGGGAATCTAAGGTCAGTTTGGCAGGCTCTGTACTTATCAGTTCAGCTTTTGTACATGTCTCCTACCTGCTCCCTTTCATAAAACATTTGTTTTGTTTGGGTTCTTTCCCTCATAACTTGAAATCAGACAACATATCCCTCTTCGAGAGTGGCTGTAGAGGTATTTAAGGGTGGCTTTTGGGGAGTGTGTGTGTGGCGTAGGATAAGAGGGTGCGAAGATACCACTGTTTCTCCAGTTTGGCATTCTTCCACCCTAATCACACCCCCCCAATCCAAGCCCAAATAGGTATGGTGAAGCTTTTGCTAAGAAGTAATTTCCCCTTGGAAATTAACAAGCAGAACAGTTCTGAGACATTTCTTCTTATTCTGAAAATGTGTAGCAGGTGGCTTGTGAGTGGTCACTGTATGCAACCCTTGCCTTGTAAGATAAAGATCAGGCATGTGTGTATTAGCTTGTGGTGTTTTGGTGTGTTTTTTTATTTTCTTGGAACATTTTAGAAATTCCTTGTAAATAAATAATATTGGAGTAAAGCAGCTTAAACCAATCTATTTGAAGGCTTCCTAAGATGAATGCTGAAAAAAATTCTAGTCACACGCTAAGCATATGAGGCCATACTATGTGGTTAATTAACTGGAGCCAGCAATTTGATGAGTCATGTGACACATGTACTGCTTCAGTAGTTCAGCAGTGCTTTTTTCTGTTTATCTTGAATATGTTGAACTGTCATGAGATGAAAATGACTTTCCTTTGCATCTTTGAACACAGAGTAAGCATACCAGTATTTCCAAAGGCATGTTGATCTCTTAGAATGAGATGAAGTACTTAACTAATGATAGCATGCTTCACAGTGTTTCAAAAGTACCTCTAAGATAAATAGTAAATTTTTATGAAAGCACCTTTGCCTCTCTAGTTCTTTCAATTGACCCTTATCTTCACTGTGTTTCAATGAAATTAAACATGTTCCTATTTTCCTTATTAGTATATCTGCATGTGATTGCAAATCTGTGACTTAGGATGTCTTTGCTAAACATCACTGAGCTTCTGGAATACTTTTTATAATCTGTAGTAAAGAATGTAATGTTTTATTTGCATTTTATATTCTGTTTGACTGAAGCACTGTAATAATTAGCTTAATGTAGCAGGTAGAGACAAAGCTGTTGGTCTTAGGGCTCATTGTCTAGATGATGAGCAACAAAACTTCCAGGGCATTTATTTACCTTGGTTGTCAGCAGTGATTTGTGCCAGCTCATGTAACTTGGGGTAGAATTCTAAAAGAAAACTGGAAAGGAAAAAGAAATTCTCATGTTCAAGTTACAAAAACTGACTTAAACATGTTTGAAAAGTTTCAGTCTTTGGAAATGTTGAACATGAAAAATACTTCATGTTTGTGACTCAAATGGTTTAGATTTCTTAGCTTTAAGAAATGGGGTAGAGTTCAGCCACTCAGCAGTACTGAGTGAACTGTTCCAGGAGATAGTTTCTCATGACACATAGGGGTGGTAGAAGTGATTTCCAGTTACTTAGATGCAGTGAGTATATTAAAGTCATGTACTGAAGCTACAAAGCAAACTTGGGTTTTGCAATCCAGAGGCTATTCAAGATACTTATCTGGGTGCACTGTGGATACAGGAGGTAGACACACTCAACCTGAGGGGTGACCTCATCAATGTTTACAAATATGTAAGGGGTGAGTGTCAGGGGGACGGAGTTAGGCTTTTCTCAGTGATGACCAGTGATAGGACAAGGGGTAATGGGTGTAAATTGGAGCATAGGAGGTTCAAGGTGAATATCCGAAAAAATTTTTTTACTGTAAGAGTGACAGAGCCCTGGAACAGACTGCCCAGGGAGGTTGTGGAGTCTCCCTCACTGGAGACATTCAAAACCCACCTGGATGAGTTCCTGTGTGATGTACTCTAGGTGACCCTGCTCTGGCAGGGGGGTTGGACTAGATGATCTCTCGAGGTCCCTTCCAGCCCCTAAGATTCTATGATTCTATGATTCTATGGGTGTGGCACCACTCTCTTTGTTATAAGTGTGTAGATTTTTAGATCCTAGATAATCTTCCCCAATCATTCCCCTTTAAAACAAACTCCATCCTTTACCACTTAGTATAACTGTAGACTTTACCTATAACTTTATAAACTTAAGATGGTGTATGTGTATTGTCATTCTTCCCCCTCCCCCTCATTTAGGCTAAACTGTTACTATTTATGTAGGGGTTTTTGTTTTTTAATGTAAAATATCTATTTTCTAACAGTTCTTCTGTTGGAAGTGCACTGCCACGGCGGCGCTGCTGTGCATATATTACAATTGGAATGATATGCATCTTCATTGGAGTTGGATTAACTGTGAGTGATATACTTAATATACTGTGATATACTTGAAACCGTGTGAAGGGGTGTGTGTGTACAAAGAGGTTCCCTTAGTTAACCAGCATTTGAATAAAACCTAAATTTGGGTGTTTTTTTTCTCTCTTTTACTGCCATGGTCTTAATCATCTGAGTTAGCCAGAAAAACGAAGTGTTTCTTAAAAAAGTTTCTGTCACTTAAGAGTGTCTTCTTCCTGATGCTAAATTTGACTCTGCATCTCTCTAAAAACTCGAGTTTTATGAAAAATGGTTTTACTTCACTGTAGAAATATTGGAACATCTTGCTCTTGCTAGGGCTCTCAAAATGGCCAGGTTTCTAGAAATATATATTGCTGTATAGCCAGGAATGTAAGTTCCATGGTAGCGGAGGAGAATGGGATTCCAAAAGTTAGAAATGTGTGCATGCCTTTAGAATTTGTGCAAGCAGTGAGGAGTAAAACCAGATGATAAGGTATTTAGAAATTGAAAGGCTCACTTTGTTGTTAACTCTGTTACTTAGAAAACTGGCTTGCTTGGCTCTGAAGTGTCTGATACTGGTTACTAGAGCTGACTTTCTAGCCAGCAGCCCCAAGAAAGTATGTGTGAGGCATTACTTGCGGTTGAATTGATATGTGTGATTGTCAGTATACCTCTAACTTGCATTATAGTCTGAATTATTTTTTGTGAGCTTAAATGAGTTAGGAAGGATTTTCCAGTTTCCCTGATAAAAAACAGTGACAGCCTGAAATAAAAACAGTGAGAGACAGATTTTTATATTTTTTTAAAACAACCTTACTGAGTTTGAAAATTATGAAAATGTTTCTCCATACGTTGCGGGTAGAGGCTTGTGTAGCCTCCATCCTTGGAGACTTTTTGGGACCCAGCTGGGATAAAACCCTAAGCAGTTTGACTTGACCTTAGAGTTGACCCTGCATTGATTGGGAAGTTGGCACTAGAGACATCGTGATACCCTTTCCAAGCTCAAATTATCCTATTGACTGTGCAAAAATACGCTAATAAAATACATTATTTATCCTTATCAGAGTAAAAAAAGTGACAAAATGTTTCTCCTTAATCTTCTTTTGCTCTTCTCTGAGGAGCAGGTAGAGTGCTGGAAGTTTGACACTTTTGTTTTCTCTTCTTAGGTTGGAACACAAGATTTCGCCAGGCGATTTCATGCAACATACGTTTCTTGGGCTATTGCTTATCTCTTAGGTTTAATCTGCCTCATTAGAGCCTGCTACTGGGGAGCCATTAAAGTCAGCTATCCAGAGCACAGTTTTGCATAGAAAAATAGCTTATAGCAGACGACTATCTAGAAATTCTGGATATTACATCTTGGACACTTTTAAAACCTTTTCCTGTAAGGATTCCATTCTGTTCATTGTAGTTTTAAGACTGGGGGTCTCTAAGAACAAATGTTCATTGCACTACATGATATGCAAATAGTTTGTTTTGCTGCTAGATTCCCTAGCTCTGAATACTAAAGCTGTGTTTACATGTTCATAACTGTCTTTATAGGTGTTGAATTTTATTTCAACAGACAGTATTAAGTTTTACATTTCCTTTGTTATGTTAAAATCCGTCTGCCATTTTTCTAAATTATCAATAAGAATTCAAAAGCAAGAGTGTTTATAAGTGTTTCTACAGTAGCTTCACATTTGTACTTAACATTTTAACTAAAATTATATTCAAGTGGCTTGCTTTAAAACCTAAGCAATAAGCATTTTGCTTGAACTCTGCTTACTGTATCTTTTGCCTAAGATCATAGTGACCTTATTCAGGAAATGAAAGTTATGAGTGTACTTCAAAAGACTGACACTGTCACTAGAGAGACATTTGTAAACACTGTATGCTTTGAGATTTTTCAGGAATAGAGATGCTATTTTGGTAATCAAATTTCCATTTATCCAGGACTGGATTTCAGTTAGGACAAATGCTTTCTTCTCGAGGATCCTGGGACTTCAGTGTTTGGTTGTTTGGGGTTTGTTTTTTTGTTGTTGTTTTGTTGTTTTTTGTTTTTTTTTTCTATTTTGTTTTTTTTAACTGGCAAATCCTAAAAGCCATGCTCGGATTATGGAACTTAACTCTGGTTACTCATACAAGTTCCTTTACAGGGTCTAAGGGAAGCATTTCATATGACTTGTTTCACAATAGTTCAGTGTCACATAGGTGACAATAAGGTGGTGATGAGTTGCCTCTTACTTTTCTCTGATCATGTCAGACTTCCCTTGTTCAGGAGAGTTATGCACAGGTCACTGTAAAGGGAGACACTGTAAATTCACATTAACTGCTGTAATAAGAAAATGAGTAATAAATGAGAAACTTGGACCATTCCATCGAAGTACATCTAGTCAATTTAGCACTGACTTGCCCAGAGAATACGGAAACAGAAAGTTTTTTTCTAATGATGTATTCACAAAGGATTGAGGGACCAGTTCTTGCACTGCCCATCTTTATTGTTTTAAACAAGTTATTGCTAAATTCAGAAGGAATGTCCTGAGTGATTTAGATGACTGTAGTAATTTAGAGAATGGAGTCAGATGGGTAAATTAATGTGGATGTTTCAGGGATACATGTAATTTAAATTATCTATGTTCCTGCTAGGACAAAATGATATTCAGATGAGGATTTTGGAGCACAATAAATGTAAATGATCAAACTGTAAATGATCTGTCTTTGTATGATGCGAAATGTATAAAAGCAGTAGCTCAGGATTACAATGTACCTTTTACAAATAAGCTAATAAAGAAATAAAGATTATTATTCAAACATTAAATATTTTGTTATTTATATATCAATAAAAATATGCAAGTGGAAGAATTTCCTAGTATGATACAGGAACAACAAATGTTTTGTGTGGCAGAGGTGGGCTCTGCATTTTTGCCAAACGATAGCCTTAGGAATAAGAAGAATAACAAATTGTTGTTTTCTTGATGTTTTGGGAAGAAAGAGGAAATAAAAAAGGGATGAAACCACTGTTGGGTTTGTATCAATAAGCCAGTGGCTTATTGAGGGAATATGGTAATGCACCTTGTTCTTTTCCTAATGCTATTTACATCCCTTCACTGTAGCGATTTGCTGGTTTTTGTTTGCATCTTTAACCTTCCAATACTCTTTCTAGTTGTCTTGTATTTCAAAATACTATCCTCCACAACCTGCAATAAAGTAATTTGGGGCTGTACAGAACATCATTCACTGCTTTTGCAATGAGGTGTGGGTAGGGAGCCTAGATATGTCATATGAATATTTCAAAGGCATTTGTACTTTTTCTCCCTGTATTAAGCTGTTCTTTATTTGCTGTCTTGTGTTTCTCCTTATTCTTCTCAAACTTTTTGATTAGAAGGGAAGATACATGGACAAAGTAATTTATTTTTGCCTGTATGAGCATAAGAGCATCATTCTACTGCTTCATTTTGCAAAGTAAAACTTTATTTCTATAAAACGTGAAATGTGTCATTATGTAGACACTGCAACAGGTTGCCCAGGGAAGTTGTGGTAGCCCTATCACTGGAAGTGATCAAGGTCAGGTTGCATGGGACTCTGAGTAACCTGCTCTAGTGCGACATGTCCCTGCCTATAGTGGGGGGCTGGATCTAGATGATCTTTAAGGTCCCTTTCAACCCAAACCATTCTGATTCTGGGTACATAAGGATCATATTTTAACCGTGTAAGAAAATGAATGGTCGAATGCAAAGAACCTCTGCAAGGGACTGGAGTAAATCTGGCTATTTGTGGAGCAGGTTTGTTTGCAGACAGTCATGACATTCTGTGCTGGACTATATTATATATTAAATTTCTTTAAACTTTAGGTTAAAAAAAAAAAAAAATCATAATCCTGTCCTGTGCATACTAGAAGAACTTGCAGCTTTTACAGTCACATTTATTTCATTGACTTTTAATAAGTCTTTTCCTCAATGTATTATTTTTGCATTAGATGGAGGAGGGAGCTGTCTGAATTCACAAGAAATGGCTTCTGTGCTTTAAAGTGTTCTCTTCCCCCTTCTCTGTGCTCTGCCCACTTCTTCCCCCTAAAGAGTTTATATAAAAACTGAGTGGTGCTGACTGGGAAGCACTTCAGATCTTAAACTGTGTTTTATTTTTTCATTATGAACCTACTGATCAATGAGTGTTTTACTGGTTTTGTCTGTACTCCTCATACATGTAGATATATTGTCTTATAAAATAAAGACTAGAAGGTAGTTTTTCTGAAAATTAAATGACAAAGATCTCCTGATAATCTGTGTTGGAAAAAGCTAGGGGTTTCCTATCAGCCTGTTCAGAAATTCACTGTGAAGTGCTTAGAGCAGGTACTGAAGCAACTACGGAGCCGTTAGTGGTTATTGTCAATAAATAGATTATGTCTAGTATTTTCCTGGCCTTCAAACAGTGTCTGTCTTTACAAACAGAGGGAAAGCCAAAGCAGCACCTTAAAATCAAGTGCTAGAAAATCCCCGTAACTAACTAGAAGGACTTGAATAATAAATAGGTGATCAGCAGCGAAGATGATTTCTGTTCGATCAATCTAACTGCCTTTTCTGACAGGGCAGAAATAGTGCACTGAATGCAACAAGCCCTATAAAAATACCTTGAAATAGTCTTCCAAGCTACCTTGAGAAACACAACAGCAAAACCATTCAAAGATAGCAATTATGAAACTGGAAGATGTGGCAAAATAAAGCCAGCCATTTGGAATATTTAGTATATTTGTAAAGTTAGTGTGTTGTTTACTTCATCTGTTTCACTCCTAGCTGATAGAAACTGAGAGTAAGCTGAACAACCCTATTTTCCTTATGTGTGAGTAGATTTACAATATCAGGGACTGAGCTTTCCCTTTCAAAAAATTGGTTGTGGAAAAGTAGTTTAATGTAGGGAAGTAGATTAATGTTAAAAGAAATTACTGTCATTTAACTCCTTGCAATAAAAAATAATAATATTAACATTTTGTGAACTGTGTAATGTTCAAAATTTGGGCTCATTATATTAAATACCTCTTCATACCAGAGATTATTTTCTTCATAGTGGCATTAGAAACCATGTTTTTCTCAGTAGCCATATCACATTGAAATGTCCCCAGTCCTCGGCCTTCCTGTTGTCTCTCTATACCACAAATCAGCAGCAAAGCTGTACTGTTGGAGGAGCGTAAGTGGCTGCATTATACATCCATCACTGGGGGAGGAAGCCTGCTTGAAATTAACTTTAAAAGTGCTTCTTTAATTCACATTTCTTTCAGTGATTTTATTGGTATGTAACAGTTGATGTGCAGCAGGTTGCATGAAAATGAAGGAACAAAAGGCTAGGGGTCATGAAGAAGAGGGGAGAGAGGGACTTAATCCGATTTGACTTATTTGCAAGATTTTGTTATAGTTATTTGAGCGAATAAGAAAAGAAAATCTAGGCTCAGTTTCCTACAGCTTTAACCACAAAAGGGTTTTTATTTTAGAACAATAAAGCTACTTGTTGGCCTGATTAGGTAGCAACTCATCATGTTACACTTCACTTGAAGCTGAAAAAATCTCCTGGAGAGGTATCCCTGTATCATATTTTCTGCTTTTATATTCATCTGTAGGCACTCACTGTTGGCTGCTTTTGGAAAAAAAAAAGATACTGGGATAAACTCATTTTGGATCTGGACTTGTATAGCAGTTTCTAAGGCTCCTTCTTAATACGATATTAGGAAGTTAGTGTGTTCAGCTAAATCTTGTGAACAAAAATAACAGGAGAGAGTATGAACTGGAAATTGCTTATTTAAGTGACAAGTTGTATGTCATTGTGTGTCAAATTTTAGAATACTTTTATAAATAAGGGCTAAAAGGTAAAAGTGGATGAGAAGTGGGGGTTCATAAGGATAGTTGCATATTAGGGTTCTATCCAATAACAATTTATCTTGTGATAGAGAAGTAACAATTTACTTCAAAGTAAATGTAACATTAGCTCTTTTGCATAGCTTTATATAAATTTGTAATGGCGGGGTTATAGTTCCAGCTTCTGTGAATTTCAGTGTGCTACTTTGTGTTTCTAAAACCTGGAGAAGAGACAAAGAGGCTGAGGTTAGAAAAACATCTCTGAAGGCATGCTGCTTATTTTTCTTGCAGTCTTTACTGAGGAAAACAATGTGGCTGATGGAATTTCAAGACTGATTTGAGTAAAAACTGTGAGAAGGAAGTTGCAGTCAGGCTTAGGGGCCCAGGCTAAATGACGTACAGCAATTACCTTCAAATAAAGATCAAAGTGAATTGTTTGTATTTCCAAAGCCACATCTTTAAACTTTCATTGTTATTTAATAAAATCTGTGAATAACAGATCTTTCTTATCCTACCTGCAATTAATTTAAAAAAATAGCACATTTGCCTAGATAGAAAATAGGTAGGGAATTTGATTTTTCTATTACTTGCATATGAAATTTTACCTGTACAGTATTAGTGGAGTATTTTGGGTCCTCTTTTTTTCTGTAATGTGATTGTATTTTTCTTCATATATCTGTTTTATAGCTGTAGCTGATACTACTGCGTGTAGTACCTGCCAGTTTCTCAAGCTAAACTTCTGAAATACTTTGAATTCTTGTCTATTTAAGAGATGCCTTAAGAACACTCAAAGAATTGTGGTCAAGGGCTCAATGTCTAAATTGAAACCAGTGACGAGTAGCTCAACATAAGCCAGCAATGTGTGCCTGCAGCCCAGAAGGCCAAACCACATCCTGGGCTGCATCAGAAGTGTGGCCAGAAGGTGACGGGACCCCCCTGATTTTGTGAGACCCCATCTGGAGTACTGTATAAAACTGGAGGCCCCAGTATAAGAAGAACATGGAGTTTCTGGAGAAAGCCCAGAGAAGGGCCACAAAGATGATCTGAGGGCTGGAGCACCTCTCCTATGAAGAGAAGCTGAGAGAATAGGAGCTGTTCAGCCTGGAGAAGAGAA